ATGGCTTATCATGGAGGGATATGATTAAATGTTAATGTCCACCTACTTATCACGACTTAGTTTTAAGTAGAATATAATATGACAATCATATAGCCAAAGAACTTTGTAGTTAATCGTGTCTGATTTACAACAGTCACATGATGGGTCAGAGCCGAGTTCACGGGTTTGAATCGAAAAAGAGGCAAAAGCTGAGTCCAGTCCTAGATGAGATGTGAGCATAGGTCGGACTGCAGTCAGACATGCTGAGCAACTGGGCTTGGTGCTCAAAGGTTGCGTCAGGTGCTGGGAGGGGATTGTTGGGCGTCGGCAGGGTGGGCCGAGTTCAGCTGATGATGTGGTTAAATAATTAATGTCCACATACTTATCACCGATTGATTTTAAATATGATATGATAACCAGATAACCAAAGAACTATGTGATTAAGCGTGTTTGACGAAGTAAGCATAATGCCGCGCTGAAATCCAATAGTTTATAAATTAGCTAATCTTATTATAATAATAATATACCAAACTAATAATTAAGATAGATAGATGAGTAATGTCATGTCAAAGACAAATATAATACTCCGTATTAGAAAAGTTAGTTTAAAGGCCAAAAGACCAATTTTGTCCTTCCAGGTGTATCAATTTCTTTAAACAAAATTTGTCTTGCTCGTCATATGTCTCAATTAAGCATCACAACTATACTCTTTACATTAATGAACTTATTAATCAACTTTATCACAATTTAATCAAATCACATAAAATAATTAAAAACCCCCCAAAAAAATCCTTTTTGTAAATACTTAGTACGACAATAAATGTGTTGTTAACATAATTTAATCTACAATTACTTAGACATGTGCGCCGTTGGAGGTGAGAAATCTAGGAGCCTTCACACTCTGACCTGACAAAACATTTTACAGTGACTCAATGGTTAAGTAGACATGGCCAAATATCGGTACGCACAAGGAATCTTTCCACTTTAGGCATAATCCCTACACTGTCACTGTCGAAATTTGAACACTAATCTCTTCTCTCAAATACTGTCTATTGAACCAATAAGCTAAGCCTGTGTGGAAAATGTCACCGAAGGTTAGATAAGCAGTGGGAGGTGCTTATAACATAAGCAAGCAAAGCTTACATACTTCACGTCATTAGTGGTCCAAGGTTATGAGGTTATCCATATGCATGATCAATTGAAATCTCTAAAACTAATTAATAAGGTTTACTTGAGATCACAAGCATTCAATCTGATTGGAGATTGAGCTAAATCGAGCTAAATCAATCCATATTAGAGCATCCACAATGGTTGGAGAGAATTGGGGAATAATGTAAGAGTGATTAGGAAAGAGAATGTGGAAAGAAAAAAAAAAATCAAAAAAAAAAATTTAAAAAGAAGGTTTAGGCGTGCCGATCGGCGAGCCTGACGCGCGTGCATTGCACGCGCCCGTGTGGGCTGCTGCTGTGCGCAAACCACGCACAGCAGCTGTTCCTTCATTTTTCTTCTTTCTGACATTATTTTAATTTCTTCTTGCAGATGAATTCTGTCCAAATTTATTCTCCCCTACATTAGCTATAAACTTGAAGTGGGTGAATTAATGCTGCAATCTCCTCATATTATCTACTGATGTAGATGCTCTTAGTGTCCAAAATGAAAAGGAACTGCATGTCATAAATTATTGCTTATAGAAGTAATATAAAAGGAACTCCATGTAGATGCTCTTAGTGTCCAAAATGATAAGGAACTGCATGTCATAAATTATTGCTTATAGAAGTAATATAAAAGGAACTCCATGTAGATGCTTTTAAGTAAATCACCTTGTGGATCAATGGCATCAAATTGCTTCTTTATTGGCATCACCTTGTGGTTTTCAGATATTATATTGTAACATAGTTACTAGTATTTTTTTTTTTTTTTTTGAATGCTACTAGCTCTATTAGAATGTAGTATCTGTTCATATACTTTCCCAACCTACTGAAACACAAAAAATCAATAACACCTCCACTGAGGCTTGAACTCACAACCTTCCAAATGAAAGTTCAATCCAGGTACTATTAGACCACATAGTCCTGATATAGTTACTATTATTTAAAAAAAAAAAATCTCTTTAATTTTGAGTTCGAACTTTACTAGAAAATTATGTTTTATAGTACTAAAGTTAGAAAATCGTAAATTTCAAACCATCGTTACTGTCAGCTACCTAAAAAGTGGTAAGAAATTTAAACCATATTTAATGCGTGGTCTGAAAGTTCATTACCTTTCATAAAAAATAGAGTTAATCAACGATTTGGTCCCTCAATTATTACCAAATTGTCAATGTAATTTTTCAATTGCTTAATTATCAATTTAGTTCCTGAAAATAATTATTTTTAGTTAATTTAGTCAATTCGGCCGTCTTCCATCGAAGGCCAGAGGGACTAAATCGACTAAAAATAATTGTTTTCGGGGACCAATTCGACGGCCGAGGGACTAAATTGACTAAAAATAATTGTTTTCGGGGACTAAATCAATGATTAAGCAATTGGGAAATTACATTGATAGTTTGATAATAATTGAGAGACCAAATCATTGATTAACTCTAAAAAAAAATATAACTTCACGTGGTTGGAAGTTTTTTCTAGGCACAAGTGTCAAATAGACTCATCTATTACTACGAAGTGCTCAATTCCCACCACGAACTAAATTAAATGTCAAATAGGCCCATCTACCAGCTAAATTTGTTCGATTAGCATTTTTTACAGGTTGGTAGCAGGTTGCCTATCTAATTATTAAAAATAAATAAATAAATAAAATAAAAAATTAAAAAAAAAATTAAAAAAAATAGAAAATTTAAAAAAAAATATCAGCCACCGGGACAGCCGGGGGCTGATATTTTTTTTTTAATTTTTTACTTTTTTAATTTTTTTTTTTTTTTGAAAATACTTTTTTAATTTTTTTACTTTTTTAATTTTTTAATTTTTTAATTTTTTAATTTTTTAATTTTTTAATTTTTTTACTTTTTTAATTTTTTAATTTTTTAATTTTTTAATTTTTTAATTTTTTAATTTTTAATTTTTTTATTTTTTAAATTTTTTAATTTTATTTATTTATATTTATTTATTTTTAATAATTAAATAGGCAACCTGCTAGCAACCTGTAAAAAATGTCAATTGAACAAATTTAGCTGGTAGATGGACCTATTTGACACTTAATTTAATTCGTGGTGGGAATTGAGCACTTCGCAATAGTAGATGGGTCTATTTGACACTTAAGCCTTTTTTCTATAGTCCAATGTAAAATTGAAAGTTTTTTGAATTAAAACAGAAAATTTAGATTGACAAAATTTTATTTTATTATTATTATTTTAATTTTTTTTTGGAAAATTTTACATCATTTTATATTGATGATTTTGTTGAAAACGGGTTCACCATAAATCGGGCATATATGTACATAATGGGAGGTAGGAAAATAGTAGCTTTATTATTCAAGGCAAATTATATCGTGCACCAAGGCGCATAATCATGTTCCAAAATGATGTCGTTTTGTATGTGTTTTTTTTAGAAATTCTGTTTCCCGTTTCTGCCGTTAACTTCTAAAAAAACAAATTATGTTTCGAATGTAGAGAATTGTATAGCAGAATACATATAAACTCCTAACATAATACACATAATCTAACGTAATACATAATACACATACACTCTTAACAAAATACACATAAACTCTAAAAGAATACACATAAACACGTGATAAAAATTAAAAAAAAAAAAAATTGTAACGGACGGAACGGTGTCCGTCGCGTCAACTCTTCACACAACTTATAAAAACGACGTCGTTCTAGGCCAGGCCGCCCTGGTGCACGATATAACGATGATTACCCGGGGTGCTAGGCCCAAAATAGTATGTACAAAGCCCGAGACCCATGCCAATGGACCATAAGGAGTTTGGTGAGCCCATGAAGGATTTTTAAGGGAAGGGAAGGATGCCTATTTATATTTTATATTGTTGAATGACTCACAGATGGTTGACAAATGAATGGCATTGGGCAACCTTCATTCTTGACCACACATGTGTGCTCCACTATTTTGCTTCCAGCACACTCCATAAGCTTCCTGCCCTTTTATATAAGATCTTGAGTGGCTTGGGTGGTTAGCTCTTGTGTTATTATATTAAGTGGGAGGTTGTGGGTTTGATAACCCTTGATTACACCTCTTATAATATTTTGCTCTAAGCTTTATTCTTTCCTTAGCTCAATAAATTTCTATTATTCTTATTGAGTCGGGCCCATGTCCCCATCATATATATACAGGGGCGGATCCAGCATGTGGGCAGTTGTCCCCCTCCCCCCACCCCCACCCCATATATAACCCTTCTATGTGTATATATGTATGTATAGTACAAGTTTTAGTATAAGTATAGCAAAATAGATAAAAATTACAAAAAAAAAAAAATGATTAGATTAGTTGGCAAAGCACATGTGTTATCTTTGTAGAGGCTAGGGTTCGAATTTTGGCACACTTTTTAAGAGACGAGGCCAGGGTTGGAATGCAATGTGTGTTCTGACTAGTGTTGAAGCAAAAGATACGAATGATCCGCAATATGATTTTGGCACAGCTTTTTAAGAGGCGAGACCAGGGTTGGAATGCAATGTGTGTGCTGACTAGTGTTGCGGCAAAAGGTTCGAATGCAATGTGTGTGCTGACCAATGTTGCGGCAAGGAAGGCCGGAATTGGCCTCCTCCGCAGCTTACCGACTGAACAGTCGATAATTTTTTTATTTTTATTTTTTTTTGAAAAAAATGTGTAAAAAGTTTGGCAAGATATAACTTTTGACTCGGTTATTTGATTGGGATAATTTTTTTTTAAAATCGCGTATTTTTTCAAACACTTGTTTTAAGTATATATGTATGCATTTCTTGTCAATGGATTTAAAGTATTAGTAATTTCAGCAGTGAAAGTTCTTCGTTTCAACAACACAATATTGAAAAATAGATAATAACGGTAGACCATCATCAGCACAAAGTATAATTGACAACAAAAACGCAAATTGAAAGACTGCTTCTTGATTCAAAGATAATTCATTTCTTTCAGATATGGTAACAGGGAGTACAAGTTTCTTCTTTTTCTTCTTCTATTTCTTTTTCATTCTTTTATTCGTTTTCATTTTATGTTGAAATTTCGCGTTTCACAAATACCTACACAAGGTGCCTTAGGCACAAGAAGCTTCTACAGCTAAACTCTTTGTAACTCCTGCACACGGATTGCCAAATGTGGTGCTCGAGACTCCAAGAGAGCAGTTTCGCAATCCAATGCAAGCCTGTGATCGTTTCGTGTTAAAAAGTCTTGGAATCGAAAAACCAAGTGCTTCAGTTATATAACACGAAGAAAAAGGGAACTAACCTTCTTTACAACAGAAAGAGCGTTGGTGCTCCTGCATTTACCATGGCTAAAACTTCCACAAGTCCCTTGAGGAGTGCCAAAGCTTGCAAATTTTATCGTTGAAATCACTTGGTTAGAAAGAGGGCACTCGAGAGAGAGCGCTGCACCTTCTTGTTTTTGCCCCGATAGGTCTGAAGTCCACATGTCTACGGGCATTGGGTGAGACTCCGAAACTCTTGAGCATAGACTTCCTACCTCTCTAGTTGCAAATGATAGCTTGGTTGGATCTCCACCAACTTCCTCAAATACCACTAGCACATTTCCACTCGATTTTAGCCACGAACGAGGAACATGGTAACTGCATGCATGATGTATACAACTCCAGTTCATGACAAAGATTCCTTAAAAAAACGCTACGCTTTAACTTTAGCAGATAGAATACTAACTAAGTCTGAGAAGGCTTTCCACAATTCCTGAGGCATTTGTCAGAATTATAGGGTCCTCTGTAGTTACACGAATCAGTGCAACCACCATTTGAAGCAGTATACGTTGGCCAGTACCGCCCAATGCTTTGTCCATTTACCCATGCCACCCCCTTTCCCATCCCCGTGAAATCTATAGCAAGCGGGCTATCACCGCCAGGGGCATCAAAATTGGCCTGAACGAACAAGAAACACAAATTTGTAATTGTAGTTCATAGTTTTGTAAACACTAACTGTTTCAAAGAGAACGCAGCCCACAAGTATTACCTTGTACCATATTAATGGTTGATTTGTAGGCAAAGCAGGCTTTGACATCCAAAGCGAAGAATCTCCATTGAACAAGCTCAACTCTTCCCCTTTTAAACCAATCTGCAAGTTCAGAGTAAAAAACGATGAGTCCACATTTAACTTTCAAGAGGCTACGAGGCTACGAGCTTAAAAAGATATTACAGACACATTAAAGAAATAAGTTAATCTCGAAAGCTAAGACGTAGTGCTATACTGCTATACATTCTGAAATTACGATTAACCTGATATGTCCACTTCTGCGAGGAAAGATCAATACTTGATCCACTTTTCGAATCTTTCAGCTGCACTGGACCAGTAATCCCTGCTCCCTTTAAATCGAAATGTCCTCCATAATTCTGGAGTCAATTGCAGGTGTTAACAGTTCATCCACTAATCATCCCATTTTGCTTAATAAATCGATGAAACCAATCGGTATAGAACAAACATGCAAATAATAGCTTCTTACAAATACTTAAACACATTAAAATCGGAGATATCTAACCTGAAGTCCAACTGTCAAACTCAAGAGATCAATTTTATTTTTCCCCGCTACAGGGCTGACTGGAACGTCTATTGAAACTCTAGCATCCTTACTGCCTCCCTTGCCACTGCCTGGTAAACAACTAACTCGCTTTTGAATATATGGGCAATATTATATGGTTAAGCAAATACTTTTAACATCAATCGTCATACATTAAGGATTTAAGGGCCTATTTTGAGTGAGTCATATTAAATTTACAATCATCTTCAAATCTAGACTTACCAAATGTGTAGCTTAGTATTGAATGTCAATTAGTGCACATTTGCAGATCAAAAGTATTGAGAATAGTCACCTAATATTCGGCTATACTTTTTGTTTTTATTGCTTTTGATATGCATAGGTGGTCAATAAGACGGTTAAAACCAAGGACCTAGCGTTAGAAAGATAATACTGAGAGAAAATAGTCGTGTAACATAAGTTATTTTGCATCACCTGCAAGCTTTCCATTAATGAAAACGTGAAGGGCATGTCCAAGTGATTGCACATGGAGAACTGCTTGAGATCCATCTTGCAGGAAAGGCTCATCGCCTTTAATTTCAATACTGCGAACGCAAGAAGTGAAAGCTTCAAAATACTAAAACATCGAAAAGAGTTGGAGATAATGATGGAAACCGTGCATTTGCATCAACTTTGGTACCTTAAAGAATACCACAGATAGTCACTCGCATCAGCTGTAGTATTTATTTGTTCCACTAAACCATCCTTTGTGAAGGCCTTATCGCTTGAAATACCCACAGGCTCGTTAACCCAACTCCAACCAGATAGTGATGCCCCGGAAGTATCAGCTTTAGAAGACTGACTGACAAATCTCGGGATGGTTGCTACAGAGTTAATCTGTCATCACAATTCGAAAGAATTAGGTCGTGCTGCTGCAAAAGCTAGTGGGTGTTTGCATGTAATTATTTGAGGAGGAGATTGAAAACAAACCTTTGCAGTATTAAGTGCCACATTCTTGCAGTCTGGTAAGATGCTTACAGACCAAGCGGGCAAGAGATAAGAATTTCCATTGAAGGTCACTGTCGCATCAGATTTGGTATGGATATTAGCTAGGAAGGCTGAGCACAGCCCTGATTCAGTCTTATAAACGCTGGCCTGACAACGAAAATGACTTTTCATTAATGGGAAAACCATTCAGTTGTGTGTAAAACATAATGCTCTACTCTCCTCAGAATGTGTTTTGTGATTCTTTGGCCAACCATATGATATGGAAAATAATTTTAAAAAATATACTTGTCAACACAGTTTTTAACTACACAATTTTCTCAAGAACTATGCCAAACTTTTTGAGTGGACAAAGAATGAGTACTTCTATTTGGTGTTAAAAGGAGATGGATGGCAACTAAGTACAACCATCTAGCACAAGAATTCATGGATACACAACACAGAACACTAACACCTCTAAATATCAGGGAAAAGAACCCTATAATGCTCGTGAATGACTTTATCTTTACGAGATTTGTTATGGATGAAAGTCTTATTTTGAGACGGGAAATATCATTAATAGTACCTCCAAATTTGAGCCGAGAGAAGTGATGGTGGGATCAGTTGCGACCATAGCTGCTTCACAAAGCTTTATCGCCTTGTGTAGATCTTTTAAGTGGCCCCATTTTGGTTGTCTTATTTGGCCTACACCACACATGGAGATTTTCAAAACCTTTTTAACACAAGTCACAGAAAAGAAATTATTTGCACTGGAAAGTATAATTGTAGACTATATAAACTATTCCCATCTATTACTCTTTAACTAAGACTGCAAAACTTTGTCTTTTGCATCGCTGCTTGGTTAAGATTACATAATAGTTAACCCTATGATTCCTACAAATTGACAAGAAAACACGAGTGGTCTTGGCTTTGATCACAGGAAGCACGAATCAACAAGCAGAGAAAATTTTGGGTATCAAGATTCAAGAACTTTACCATACTCGTCGAGTGGAGCATCATAATCATAGGATGTTATAATAAAGGGTCCACCAGAGGATCGACCAAAGTTAGTTCCTCCGTGATACTGTTTAAACAAAGCCAAAAGCTAATTATACAAGTAATGTGTTGTTATTTTTGCAGAGGGGGAGAGAGAAAGCAAGAACGAATTGCATGTCAAAAGCATCGCAACAATACCATGTAATAATTCTGGAAGGTTCCGCCCCGCTGGAAAAACCTAGCCACTGCAAAAGCAATGTCTTCTACTGGTCTATAAGGCACAGGGCCACCAAATGAAGTAAACCTGAGATTCAAAAGAACCATATCATCTGAGTAGAAGAGGGATCTATGGACTATGGATTCTTAAATTGATATTTCACTGGATGAGATTGCTTGTCTACCTTAACGCAAGAAAATAAAGACTTACCATCCAGTCCAATTCTCAGTCCACATTTTTGGCTTCTTATCGGAGTTGGGCGTGAACTGGTCACAATAGAACCCATTGCAAGTGTTTATCTGTCAATTCAGAATTTCGTATTATTCGCTACTTCAGTAGATATTTTCAAACTACTACTAGATGAAATTAATACATAAGGTGGAAGAAAGCAACTCACAATAGGATCAGGAGCATCTGCTTGCTGGCACATAACCCATGGTACCCCGGTATCCAACGAGGTAGCCATTGCTGCTGCCCATTCCACATATGGTTTAGCACGAGGTCCATAGTCGAATTGAACATTACCATACTCATTTTCAATCTGCACGGTAATAAAAGCAATTAACTTGATTCAGTTTACTCATCAGTCATCACCCAGAGATTCAAATTCCAAATCATTACACTTGGGCTTTAACACAAAGAAGCCAGCCTAAGATAGTACCTGAGACAATATGATGGGACCTCCTTGGGATGCATAGAGATTTTCTTGCTTCATCAAGTCAACAATCTTGGTCGTGAACCGCTGCATTTCAGCCTGGAACAGGACCACTTGCATTAACAGGTAATATGAAGACAGAAGCTATTGACAAAAACTGGAAATTAGTAACTAGAATGACGTAGAAACCTTGAACGGCTCGTTGTTAGATCGAAGTTCAATCCCAGGTATAAAATGCAACCAGACAGGAAACCCACTGTTTCAAGAAAACACAACATGCCCACATTAGTTAACACCAACCTCAACATTTGCAAAATGAAAGACAAGTAAATTTCTAAAAATATAGCCAGAAGAAGAACATTTACCCATAGTTCCACTCAGCACAGGCATAAGGCCCAATACGTAGATGAACAAATAAATCAGCTTCTCCAACCAGTTTCACAAATTTAACAATATCTTTCCTCCCTTCAAAATCATACTGCAGAAATCCCTTATCATATCAGCACCCTTTAGGCCTTTACTTTCTTCAATATTTTGGTTAATAAATTAACAAAGGCAGACAAATTAATAATCAAAAAAGTTTTTTTTTTCCTTAAAATTTAACCCTGGGCATTACCTAATCCGTTTGATAAACTTTGAAAAACAAAAACAAAAAAGCAGAGAAGCTCAAGCCATCACTCCAAACTAAGACTCTTGAATCTTGATACATAAACCAATAATAGGAAATTCTTTTTGTTTTCTTGTTTTGTAAAATTTCCTTAACAAGTAAAATAAAAAGGCAAAAATTGAAGAACAACCAAGAAAACGTGTGAATCTGGAAAAGAATAAAAATCTCAAGAATTAAACAAAACAAAAAAAAAAAATTTATCATAAACCTGGTTTCTAACTGGTTCGTGCAAGTCCCAGAAAATATAAGTCTCGATAACATCCAAACCTCCATCCTTCGATTTCTGAATCAAGTCTGGCCACATCTGCATTTTATGTTCACAGAAAAATAAAAATTAAAAAATTTACTGTACAGACACATGAACAAATGGTGGTGTAGAGAGACAAAGGTACAAGAGCTTAAGAGAGAGAGAGAATGAGGAGAGGAAGCTCTCTCACATCAGGAGTGCTCCGAGGATAGTGGATGGAGCCGGAGATCAAGACCCTCCGTTTGCCGTCAATGACCAATGCACGGTGATCATACGTCACATTGGCGGCAAACGGCGCCAAGCACTGCAACAGAACCACCGCGAGCACCACCGCCACACCTCCCCTCATTTTCACCGTCATCGCCACTCAACTAACCGCTCATCAAAAGCCCAGACTTTATTCCTCCCCAAGAACAGATTTTGAAACTGTAAACATATATACAACGAGACACTCGTTAGTCGTTCCTGTTGTGTGCAGAAATGGATTTCTCAAAAGTTCTTTCTTTAAAGCGCTAATTTCTGAGGTTTCTTTGGCCGATACCTTGAATTTTTCTGAGAGTTTATCTTACAAGTTGTGTAGCTTAAGAGTTTATGAGAAAGGAGCGGTCGAGCTCTCTATCATGCGCCGCGGCCGCCGTGCCACCGCTCTTATCCTGAGCCCACCTGACGACGTCGGTTCGTCGCCTTCTGCTTCGTTATTAGCTGCTCACTCTTCTGCAACTAAGCTTTGCTTAATGCAATAATGCTTGATAGATATATCAAATATAATATATCTACATATATATATATAGTTGAAAGGAGAAGAAAAATCAAACAACCTTAAGAATTTTTATTACTTTTCATGATGTTAAAATATATTAGATTATAATCTATTTATAGTAAAAGAACTAACAAATTATAGCTAAAAAAATTTAAACACTAACCCACTTACGCTAGGAAAGTAACTAACTACTGATCCCCAATTTCCTTCTTCAATTTAAGAAATGTCTCCATTTTGTAAAGATATTTACAACTTGATATTTATTTAAATAATACTCAATGTTAATTTTTTTTCACCAACTAACTCTCTGATTTTGTGATACTTAATATCAATGTGTTCGCTATGACCATGAAAGACAGGATTCTTAGACAACAAAATTGCAGACTTGTTATCACAAAAAATAGTTGTAGCCTTGTAGGTACTTTTTGCTTGTGTTGTAAAAATTTCAAAATTCTCCTCAACCAAACAGCTTGAGTAACACAATTTGCTGCTGCAATATATTCTACTTCTGCGATTGAAAGTGCTACAATATGCTGCTTCTTTGAAGACCAAAAAAATATGACTGAACCAAGTTTGTAGAACTTTTTTAACCATTGCACCATTTTCAATCGTATCTCCATATAACCTCATCTTTTTCACCATATCAATAAGATGAGTGAAATACGTATCTACTGTTTCTGTAGAAGTCATTTCACAATTATCATACAACATTCTCAACGACGGCAACTTAGACTTCTATGCCCGATCAACTTCTTTGTGTGACACCTTTAAGATGCCCCAAGCTTGCTTTGCTGTTTGAGCATGAGCTAATTGTCCAAAAATGAAGTAATCAACACCTTAGTGAATTTATCCCAATTCCAATTGATCCGCCGTATAGCGGCTGTCGGTTGTATCAGCTCATTTTGGTAGACTGGGATCAACAAAGCTCCAAAGATTTTGAGCTTTCAAATGTGTGATCATCATAATCGAGGTTGATTGACTCTGATACAAAATGTTAGATATATCAAATAATATATATATATATATATATATATATATATATATATATATATATATATATATATATATATATATATATATATATATATATATATATTTGTGTGTGTGTGTGTTTAAGTTCCAGTGCGGGTGAATGCTTCCCGTGCAGTTGCGCGGGTGATTGATGTGCGTGAGTTTTGTACTTAATGTGCGTGAGTCTTGTACTTAAGGTGTGTGATGTTTGTGCTTAATGTGCGTGACTCTGTAGTGCTTAATATGCGTGAGTTTTGTACTTAAAGTGCGTGAGTCTTGTGCCTAAGATGCGTGAGTTGTGTGCTTAATGTGCGTGCGTACTTAATGTGAGTTGTTGTTGAAACTTTAAAGTGCATGAGTTTGTGCTTAATGTGCGTGAGTTTTGTGCTTAAGATGCGCGAGCCTTGTGCTTAAGGTGCGTGAGTTTTGTACTTAATGTGCGTGAGTGTGTACTTAATGTGAGTTGTTGTTAAAACTTAAGATACGTGTGTTTTTGTGCTTAAGCTGCGTGAGTTTTGTGCTTAAGGTGCGTGAGAGTTGTGCTTAAGATGCGTGAGTTTTATGTTTATGGTGCATGAGTTTGTGTTCTGAATGTATTTTGTTTGTGTGTTTAATGTCTGTCTGTTGTGTACTTAAAGTGCGCTAATCTAATGCTTAGTGTGAATCCACCGCACAACCGCACGGGAAGTACCACCCGCACCTGATCCCTTCCATATATACATACATACATATTTTTATTTTGTGACGAGTAAAAGCTTTTATTACTTCTCATGACGTTAAAATGCATTGTACTACCATCTATTTATAGCAAAAGAAACAACAAACTATAGCTAAAAAAAAGTTAAACACTAACTCACTAACGCCACTAAAGTAACTAACCACAAATCCCACTTAAAAAAAAAAAAAAAAAAAAAAACTAACAACTACTTCGTTTAATATAATAATAATAATAATAATAATAATAATAATAATAATAATAATAATAATAATATTATTATTATTATTATTATTATTATTATTATTATTATTGTTATTGTTATTATTATAACAAGGCACCAATGCACCATCTTTATATTTAGGCGCTAAATCTCTTCTCTTAATTAAAACAATTACTAATTTTCTTAAATTATTACTCCGTATCATCATCATCATCATCATCACATCATCATCATCATCATTATTACCTCTAATGGTCCTCCAAGTATTGAGATATTACCCACTGTGGTCCTGCAATTTTAAACCGACCAGAAGACGTCCTACTAGTTTAAAAACATAACCACACATGATCCTTCGTTAGTTTTTCTGTCAAAAGAGAGTTAAGGGGAGGACAAAATTGCCATTTCACCATTACTTTCTTCCTTATTGCCTTCGTTCAGAGCACCGTAATATCGCAAACTATTTTTCCTCCAAATCAAAGAGTCCTAATATAGTCGTGAAGGTCAGCGACAACAATGGAGGCTTCGTATGGATCAAGTTCCATGACAAGGAGTGGCATTTTGAAGAATGGTGATGTGAGCGTAATTGTACATGTTTTTAGTGTTAGTTTGAATCTATTTGTGGGGTTTAAGTTCATGAAAATGTTACTTTAAATGCATATTCCCTTGTTTTGTCATTAATATATGGTTTTATACTTGATTTGAATGTTTTACTGTGTTTGTTAGTGTTTTGGAACCATTGTAGATCAATTGCAAAAGCAAGGAAAGTTCTTGGACGAGTTTGGAGCCAAAACAAAGTCAATGTGAAGCTAAAGAGGTGGCTAAAATGCTTCAAAGAAAGTCAAAAAGTGGTACTTTCAATGGATTTGATCACAAGAACCAAACAAGGAAAAAGTGGAGCAAAAGACCAAAGAAGTGTAATTCCCTCTTAATTCAGCGACAACTTAGTATTTTGATCATATCTCATGCTAGGAATGTCTGATTCAGGTGATTCTTGCGCTATTGGAAAGAAGACTTGAAGGGCTACATCCTATGACTCATAAAAAAAACTTGACGCGTCGAAAATTTTCAGTGAAGTTTCATCAGTAAAAATTCTCACACAGATTGGCGACAGTTTGATTTTCGGACCATATCTTAGCCTAGGAATATCCAAATGAAGTGATTCTTGCGCCATTGGAAAGAAGACTTGAAGAGATGCAACTCTTATGAAGACATCAGAGTCTATATCAGAAGGAAAAATGGTCAAAATAATCCTGAAAATCGGACATATGTCACTGGGCGAGATTTTTGAAAATTTCCTAATTTATTCCTATTGAGCTTCAACTATAAAAAAACCCATCTTTGATCAACCCTAGGGCATTATACTGAATTTTGGAGACAAGAAAGAAGAGAATTAAGAGCTACAAGTTGTCTTGGGAAGCAAGAAGAAAGCTGAGAGATTTGGAAGAATCACTTGGTTTATTCTTGTACTCTTTTTGATTACTTGTAAACTCTTTATTATTGCTATGAATTCTATATTAGCCATGTATGGCTAAGTTTTCTTAAAGATTCTTGGGTAAAAAGTGTTTATGAACCTATGTGCATGTACTCTCAGATTCTTTAATACAATAATATTTGGATTATAACTTGTGTTTGCAATTGTGATTATATTTTTTGATGCTAGTAGTTAACGACCGTAACTCCTTGTTTCATGGTTTTCTTTGTGTCACAACGGGAGTTGGGCATAAATTAGGGCACTCACAATTGCACTTAACTGTTGCACCTTGAGAGATGACAAATATGTTATGGATTTTAATTCTTGATTATTGCACATCAAGATATGTTAGTAGTTAGGGATTTATTATGAATGCTTGTTCTTTTATTTTTGGGTGTTTATACCACGAGAGTGGATATTCACTAAGGTTAGAGATTACGGGAGTAACTCTATACCACCTTTGCATTCTCACACTTGTTAAACCCGAATTTTAATATTGTTCTTTAGTTTGACACTAGGTGATTAAATACTTGAATCCCATGAATCTCATTCTTTCTCAATTGTTTCCACAAACTTGCATACTTGTTCTTTATTTAGTTTTTCTCATTGTTCAATCATGTCTTTCGTTAGGATTAGCTTCTCGTGAATAAATTAGTAACTAGTGCTTAATACCTCACTTTCCTGTAGATCGATAACCCGATACTTCGAATATTTTTGTTTGAGAAATATACTACAACTAAATAAATATCTGACTGAGTCTTTAGATGTGGAAACAATATAAAACTTTGTGGATAAATCAAAACTCAGGGTGTAAGTATTTGGTGTGCTCCACATAAATGATGAGTAATATTGATTTTTTTTTTTTTGGCTATTATTATTATTATTATTATTATTATTATTAATAAAATAACAGCTGGCTCGAAACACAGAGTTATTACCGACAAGTGTACGTTTATTTTTAGTGCTACATTGAAACCTGCAAAATTAATGATAATTGACAGAATCTACTGTGTGATTTGGACCATTTGGTATGTAATTATCAACCTCACATGGTGGACAGTTAGGCTTTTATTTTAGGTATATGGAGTATGGACTAATACCTAACGTTCACAAAAAAAATCATGCACCATTGTAGTAATAAAATTATTTATATTCATCGATAATTTATAAATTAGCTAATATAATCTTATGATTATAAGTTTAATAATAATATACCTAACTAATAATTAAGATAGATAGATGACTAATGTCATGTCAAAGACAAATATAATATTAGAAAAGTTAGTTTAAAGGCCAAAAAATTAAAGCATTATGTTTGCCCTTTATATTTAGACCAATTTTGTCCTTCCAGGTGTATCAATTTTTTTAAACAAAATTTGTCTTGCTCAAGATATGTCTCAATTAAGAATCACAATTATATTCTTTATATTAATGAACTTATTAATCAACTTTATCACAATTTAATCAAATCACATAAAACAATAAAAGAGCCAACAAAAAAATCCTCTTTGTAAATACTTAGTACGATAATAAATGTGTTGTTAACACTTTTAGAGATTACTAGTTCTTTTACGCGCTTTGTGCGAATGGAATAA